GTCTACAACATCACACCGTGGCCTGTCATCATGTGTCTAAGCACAGAGATTACACGCAGTACATTTTGAGAAATGTGCTATAATAGGCTCGGTGTTGTGTCTTTTCCTTGAGTACATTAACAGTTATAACATCAGAGATCACTAAAGAATCTTTCGAAAACTCCGTTATTTAAGAAAGTGAATGAATTGTTGACGCATTGCAAGGGAACGTCAACAATTTCCCTTATGCAAACTCCTTCGTATCCACTCATTTGAGGCCTCCTGGTGTAAACATTTGCCCTTCTTTTTAGATTTTTATCAAAGCCTTGCTCGGATTCCATGCGCATGCAATTACGCTAAAAAGCATTAGTCTTTCAGTACATCTATTATTCTTTTCCTCAGTGTTAACTGAGTGATTGAAAAACTTGACTTTTGCGATAATTTAAGTTTTGACGTCGATCAAAGTATAGCTGCACACTTTCATTTACATTAATGATTTATTTTGTCCCAGTTGCCGGTAATTTGAAGTGAGGACAAACATCTGATCGCGGTACGCGCTATACGGGCGGCTACGCTGGCCACTGCTATTTAAACGCCATCTAACTTCGATCAGGGTCAAAGTAATGAAATTATTTACGTCAACTGCGTCCCACCGTAAATGTAGTGCACCCCTCGGGGGCTGTTTACTGAAATCGGCGTTGGCGAAAGATTTTATAGAGGGAATTAGCATTGAATAATCGAAAATGAAGCCGGTTGTATATTGGCAGCATTAGAAAATTGCAATGCAGATACGGGTTCGGCAGGGGAAGCGACTGTAAACATTTGTCTCCGGATCTTAACAAACCTTTGAGTTAAACCTTCCAACATCTGCTAGGTTAAACGTCGTCTGTCCCGCATTAAACCTTTCATAACCTTGTTAACATAGGTTTGACAATGATTTAAAAGTCACTGGACTCCTCAACAAAATAACTCATGTAACAGCAATGGAACCAAAGTCGAATTTCCAAGCATGATAAGTCGGGTTGCTAAACTGCACTGAACCCCTCATTGGAGCTGTGATGCAAGAAAATCAAGTTAAAACTGGTAGATAAGCTGCTTTAAATCCGAAATTGCGGTTAAATCAATCAAAATCTACATAAGCAAACAAAAATAAAACTGAATTAACGCAGCTCTGTTCTATTTGCTTGATTCCACAGTATACTGAGACAATTGTTTTTCCCGTGGAATGCGTCTCCACCCACGTCTTTGTTCACAAATTAACTGTCCATTGCGCAGTATATTCCGCCTCCATAGGTGATAGCCAAGTCTTCTTAAGATCGATGATTTTACTAATTTTTCTTTATCTATTTCTAATCTGTACAGTAACGTAGTCCAAAATGGATCATTTCGTACTGTGGCCGTTCTCTTACAAATGTTTTGATGTTATCTTTGAACGTTTCCCTACTTAGGTGTACTCGAGAGACAAAAGTATTTTGCGAACCCATGATTATACATTACGCTTTGCTCATGAGCTCATTGCGATTGCATAATGATAAATATAACATAAAAGAAGCTAGACGGTTCCCAAATCTATTGTCCGTTGAATTTCATTATGGCAAAGGCAATTGAAACATCAATTAATTGATGTACTAATTACTATCTGGGCCATGTTCGATTTTGGCCTAGGTACCAGCAATTAGATCTAATTATTAGCACTAAATGCCGGCATTTAATTGAAAATTGGGTTAAAATTGTGGTGCGTCTGCTGTCATTATATCTGCATTAATTTGGCTCTCATGCACAGTAAAAAAACTACTAGACCGGTCTGTGGCCATAGAACTCATACTAATTGGAAATCTCCAATTTGTAGTAAGTTAATGCACGATTTTTGCAGCGGTATCACGTGACCGTTCTAACTACCCCGATGCATTTTTTAACTGAAATTAAATATGCACGGACCAGATGCTCCACCATGGTGGAGCACTTCATGTCATTCACACTAACTTGCTTAAATTTCAGGTAGTTGGTGTATGTAAATAATCTAGGGTGTGGAGAACAGTTTTCACTATATTCTACCAACGTGATTGCCTACAGTTTCAGGTACTGCATCTAGTGGTGACTAGTCACCACTATAGTGGTATATGCTGAGGCTGTCATCATCAATGCCATGGCAACCGTTACGATCAGCTGGTCCGATGGGCATCACCTTCCAAAAAGACTGAATGCGTTGGTGCAAGAACTGCCTCTCTGGCTTCATGGAATTTTTGGTCAGGTTCTCAAATTAACCCTCTTCTGCCGCTTCGATTTTGTAACGTAGTACCTGAAGGTTAATAGCATTGTACCAAATCAGGGTGTGGCGATGAGTGTATCCAAGCAATTTCAGTAAGTATGCCTAGCGGGCTTGGAACATACCCGCCATGCTGTACGAAGGACTACGGACTTTTATTGCTGACAAATTTAATGAAGTCCCCATGAGGAATCCTTCCAGAAAATGACTGTTAAACATCCGTAATGTTTACGTCTCTTTAACTCGCACAGCACGATCGAGTTCACCGATCGTGGCTGCAGTTGAGGTATGTGTACGTTTCTATCGACCCGCTAGGACGCTTTCGTTATCCCCGCGATTAACGTTTATTCTCATCTATGGCACGGTATCTTGGGAATCTAGTTTTCTTGTCGTTTGTCGTCTATTGTTGGCTGAGGTATATCGCAGGCATATTCAAAATCGATCGCTCATCGTCCTAGTTCATATCTTCTGTTGTTGAGACTGCGTAGAGTCTTTCCGAAAACCCAGCTAATTTCCCTAGCGAAAATGATTGCTGACACGCTGAAAAATTATGGAATTCAAGTCTTCTAATGATGGTTGTGGCGGAAGACGCCACAATGTGTACATTAGACTACTGCATCTGCGTTCAGCTAGAAAGCCACATTAACTGACTATAGTTCTCCAGTCCCTTCCACTTTCGGACCACGTAAAACTGACGCTGTTCACCAACGTTCATGAGACTTGGATGTGGACCTCAAGGTAGCTAAATCTCAGTAACTGGGAGGCATCTCATCTTCAAATGCTTCCTCTATCTAACAAGTTGTAAAATAACTGGAGTTCGACACATGACTTTAAAAATTGGCATTAATATTCTTCTCTACCTGCGCCTTGCATAAATTTTTTGTTTCCTATCACAACACCGCACAGGGCAGAACAGGACACAAGCATTTAAAACCGTTCCATTTGCGCTCAACCACGGCCAGGTTTTAGGCACTGTATTTTAATGTCACAACGCGTAAGAAGTCCTTCAGTAAATTGATCTACCAATGATTTGGCGAATAGTTTGACGTGGCATCAACTGTTTCTGTGGAACCCTTATGAAAGTGACGGCTTCCGTCTGTAGAAGTGATCGGAGGAATTGACATCGTCTGCCCCAGTTTGAGCCCGTCTGTCTAACAAATAGGACACCTCATGAGTCCATACAGTCTTAGCGATCCCAACAGTGGAATTCATCAATTTCCTGAACAATTCAATCATGACTATCCGCTGGCACGCTCCTCATTGATTGATCCGGGTTTCAGTTCTCAAAGCCTCAAATATCTTGTGTTGTCGACATTTTAAGGCATATAAGCGTATCACAGGGGGTATTTTTGAGTAAAGACGAGAAATGCCTATTCAAGCATGTATGGTAGGTAACATGTTTCGATTCAGACCTTTTGTGATTTTTACATCAGTCAGCGATCTGCTGCAATGGCCCACCTAGCAAACTTTTATTTGACTCAAATAAATTTATCTGACCGTGTGTTCTACCATTAGGCAACAGGCCCGTTTTCGCGCTTGTTGCAATCAACACAAGCCAATTTCACAGTCCGATCGATAAACTTCCTTCTGACAAACGTTAGACCTAACGCTCTATGACCAAAGTATCTGGGTTCGAGTGCCAGATCATCCAAAGATGGGCTTAGGTATGACTAACTGGCAGCGACTAATAAACCATAAATTTCCATCCCTGTCTTTTCCTTGTCAGCATTCCTTTATGTCACCACCCTATATGCCTATACTACAAGTCGCCATACGACTGCCTGCAAGGGTTCTAGATCAGGCCTCAAAACACAACGGAACGAGCATGGTCCGTAACCCCGTCGGTGGTAGCGATATCGGCATAATTTATATGGTTGATCAAAACCGACAAGACAATGAGTTCGTGGCTCCGATGGCTAGACTGTCGTATTTGCTAACGTTTAATATGCAAAAGTTGACAGATCCGAACATTAAGATTGGGTAAGGCTGGCTGACAATGGCTTATTTGTCGGAAATGACCACCCGAACGTCCTTTGTCTTTGTCAATACCACTGTCAGCTTATAATCACGTCCACCATGCGACGTCTTTGTGGACCATACATCGAACCTCAAGAAGCATCTGGATGGGCAATAGGAACCATTATATATGACATGCATTTCAAAAGTATTTATGACTAATGAGAACGCTGCCCTCGTTCAAAAATAATCTATAATTTGTGGCCCCCTTAAAACTGAATTACGGATCTCTTTTAGGTAGAAAAACCGGACCCGGCGTAGGATTGTATGAAGCGAGTGTAATAAATAACATTTAGAACATCCCGCTAAACACACACGATTGCATCTTCTTAAATTTAGCAAATTTAATTTCAAAAACCACGATACGTGGGAAGTGATGTTCTTTTAGACTTTATTTTCACAAATGCCTGAAAAAATACTCAATGGACAGTCGGCGTATTATCGTGTGGGGAATTGCGTTGCGATCGTGTTAATTGCGCAACAGTACTGCAACTTTATATAAGGGCTATTTTCTACTGGAAAATACGTATTTAGAAACTTGATGCAGTGCTTCGTGAAATCGGAATGTACCGCACTCCAGTCTTCATTCATAAACTTTAGCGAAGATGAAACACCCTAGAAAGCCACTGTAATAAATAAACTCTTCAGAATTAATCAATGACTTTGATTCCTACTCGAATTTCGGAATTTTCGTATTTATTAAAGTGTCTCGGACGACAGATGCTCTTGGATCCCGAAAATGCAACTCAGCCAACTACGAACACAAATCGATGAACTTCTACAGAACCCAGACCTGCGCACGCAAATTAAGCGTGCGCTTGAATGCGACGCTGCCTCTGCGCTGGCAGGCACTCAGCAGTCCTCGCAACACCCTCATCAACAGGATATTCTGCTATCCAAGTTGAGGAGCGCCGGCGTAGTTGACCGCCTTCTCACTGCCCTTGCGAAGCCCTCGCCCAAACATGCGTTCCTCCCCGAAGGCGCAACTTCACACTTACCAGAATGCAAAAACTATGATCGTGCGACACTGTCTATTGAACTACTCACAGCCAAGGCTCTGCTGAGTAATCTTTCCGGCCAGGGATGTCCAAACGACGACTCTCTGTCTGAAAGTGCTCTAGTCTTTTACTTGGCCTTCGGCAGACATCGTTTCCAAAGTCAACGATTCCCCTGTCATGTGGACCTCGACTTGAATCAAGTGTTTCTTGTGGACTTGGAGAGTTCTGTTTCCTACAAAGTGCCAGTAAGTCCAGACGTCTTTTCGTTGCTACTGACGCTTCTTTATAAATTATACTTTGAAAACGTGTTTGTTTTGAGAGTAATATTCGGATCTGGGGCATTCAAAAGACGATGCGTTCTGCATCTCATAAATGCAATTGAAATATAGGCTATTTCGCTAAAACGTTTGATCATTGAATTTCATTTCTTTTTTAGATTGTTACGTAGCATAGGCGTCTTACTTTTTATAGCCTCACAGAGAGAGAATAGAGAGGTCATACGTGAATTTCGCGCCGTTTTATCAGGCCATTTAGCGTTGTCGAGACTTACTTGCTGACTTTCGGGAAATAATTTAAGTTTGAATTTGGCATACGCAACAGAGTTTATTGGGATCGACAAATTTCCTAACGGCTTATCAACTGCAGCCACAGAAAAAAATCAATGAAAAACAGTAAAGTCATCGTCTACTGCACACCGACTGATCAGTAAAAGTGGTAATTTAAAAAAACAATTTAGGAAAGAACATGGGGACGTTGGCACGCGGAAGGGTGTGTAAATCAAAGGACTGAGATTTAACAGAACAAACTGAGGTTTACATCGTGGTCCAAAATGTTTGGATTAGTTAGGTTTATTCCGCTGTATGTGGGCTGCCTCCAAGTAGCTCAATGTCCGAGTTGTTTGTGTCTGACCTAATACTCGGAAGGACACCTTAGAGTCAACACCTTACGGCCGAAATGGGCGGAACCAGTTCCGACAAAGCCCGTTGTAATATCCTGACAATTAAGGGTGACGACATTCCCAATACAATTAAGCGGCGATTGAGATGCGTCGTTGAAAGAACATACAACGCAGCCGACTTCGTATTCAGCAGTCCTGCCAAAACCATCCTAATTCCACGCGCAAAGGTTGCATTACCATTATATGCCACCTCAAATTGTGTTTACAAATTCACATGCATTGGTGTATGCAAGTACATTGGACCAACGTAAAGGCGATTGGCGGCTACGTAAGGTGAACCTCTGCCTGAATGGCGTTTGCTACAGGAAAATAAAATTTCTCGTTCTTCTATCAAGAAGTACCTCCTAGACAGCGATCATTCCCTTGACTCCAAAACATCCTTCCGAGTGATAGTTTTTGGCCCGAACATCTGGGATATTGCGCTACCTTGAATCAGCCTGCATACGGCTGGAGAGACCCAACCTATCCAAACAGTTGGACCACGCGGTCAGCCTCAGTTTGCTCTGGTAAAGCTCAGTCCATTAATTTACACATCCCTTCTGTGTGTCAACTCTCCCATCCTTTTTTAAGTTGAGTTTTACCACTTTTATTGATTATTCTATGTGTAGTAAACGATGACCTTGCTGTTTTGGCTTGTCTTTTTCCGTGGAAATTACAATCTCTGTTATGCATAGACAGGTTGCAGTAGATAAGCCGTCGCAAAATTGGTCGGTTGCGATAAATTATATTGTGCATTCCTGTTTCAAATTCATACTGCGAAAATATTGCTCCGAAGTTGTTTAAATTTGTTTTTGAACCAAATGACTTATCCATTTTATTACCTGCAAGTTTGGAAATCGCCAGAAGTTTGCCACTGTCAGGAGAGACGACTTTCGCCAGACGTGTTGGATGCTTACACAGTGGTCATAATCAATATTTGTAAATCCCTAGATACTTGCAAATGGCTCTATCATGTTTAGCAAGGGGAGTCGATTCTGGACACGATGTGTTCCTTTTGGTAACATTGTGAATTTATTTTTGCCGAGGTAGAAACCGCTGACGGCGGAAGCGCTGCTGGCTGACAAGGCCACAAACGCACCCCTCCAATTGACATGCGTTAAGCTGCGCAAAGATGGTCGCCGGCATCTTATCTCCTCAAATCTCATTGACTGGAAGAAGCATGTCTATTCTCCTGCGTCTGGCGATGCCGATGGGGAAAGTTCTACATGGACTAGAAAGGTGCTCGTGGAATTGTCCAGTGTCGGCTCAGAGACACAGGTAAGGTGCGACGTTTAGGAAACCTTTATGGGTTAACTTTTCGGTAGTTTTTCTTTTATGTAGAGCAACATGGCAAGAGTATGGTTAATGGCCGAAGCTACCTACTCTGGGGGAAAGTTGTGCCAAAAGAAAATAGTTGGCGATATTTATTCGTATATGCCACAGAGAGAAATAAAAAGACCTTGCGGTGTCTTTTGCGTGAGGGTAGTCTATTAAATGCTAGAAATGATACCCCTCTTCATTGGTGTCAACATTGAAGAATCAAAATTTTTGACAGCGCAAATTTCTTAGATGTTCAGTCCCTTTGCGTACCACAAATACGCTCCGGGGTAAGTAACTCCAGCTATAAACCATACCTTGGTCAACAACATCATATTGCCGAATCAATAAGTATACCAGAACACGAGCAGGCGTTCACGGGAAAGGACATGTTAGGCGTCTGAAATAGGAAATGGCGGTATCGGCTGTTAGTCTTCTGCAAGTGGTATAAAAACCACGCAGGGCACATTATAAGACAGGTAGACGTCATTCGTTGTTCGCTAATACCGACTGAGAGCTGGTGGATTGGTGAGTTAACATCTGGCTTGATGGCGGCTAATTCCGACTGCTAGGAGTCGTTTCCTTTCACGTTGTATCTTTCCCATTGGCGTTGGTTTGTATCATCTAGGTTTGCCGATAGTTCCAGCTGTTGGGGGCTTTTCATCGTCTTTGGGAGATGACCACCGTTCGTCGGGACATAGAAAGTACCAGTAGTTTGGGAGTCCAACATGCCCAAAAGGCAGTGCGCAGCTCCTGCGGTTTCAGTTGAACTAGGTTACGTAATGCTATGCCGAACCTCAGTTGGGTAGTGACGTGCTGCCACATATGACGCAGGCAGGTCTATCTGGCGACTAACCAAGTGGTAGAGTTAAATGCCATGCCTCCGTACCATAAATTTGCATTCAAACATCTATTTTCGCAGCCTTCGGCCGTTCCCCCTAACTGGATTCGGAATATGGCATCCGAATTCTCCCTGTTAGGTATAACGTCACTTATACGCATAGTCTCTCTGCGAAGATTTTAGGAAAATATATAAGCGCCTTCTGCTCGCAGTGGTACGCAGAACCCGGTCACGGTACCGCAGCCTCATTTCATTTACGTTTTCCTTCACTATAACATGGTCCCGTTTGTTTCACTTATTCTCCCTTCAGTCCATCCGACCTTTGCTGAAGAATGCCCGTAGGTGCCCGCTAAACATAGAGTCCCCAGAGATAATCGTTCTTCTCACTCCTAGCGGCCAGCGTGCTCTAGACCTTTCCTATCTACTTACAAAAGTCTGTGTCCTAGAGATTGGCTTACGGTCCCAGGGTCCCTATTTCAATGCCTTGCCATCTCATTCCCATCCAGTTTATCTCGGACGTGCCGCTGGAGGACGTGTGAAAAAGGGACAAAGTGAGATTTATTCCGGTTAGGTTCGTCGCTTAGTCTTTTCACTATAAACAACCCTGGCGCGCTGACCGTTCTTGATTGGGAGTTTGCCAGCAGACAGTGTTTGTCGGTCCGGCTTATGATTTGGCGTCGGCCTGCAATTTCCCGTTCTTATTGCGACTTTCATGACAGTTTCACTTATGCACGATCCACTACCCCCCATTTGAAGTCTGATACGAATGAGTCAGAAGATCAGGTTGCGTGTGGTACGCGCAGACAGAATGCTTAGCCTTCGCACTCTCTGCGCCCGCGTCCATCCGCGATCCTCTTAACGGTTTCTTGACGTCGGAACTGGCGCGGCAAAGAAAGAATTAAGTGAACTGCAATCAACGGAAATTAATTGTACTACGAACGTATTCACGTTATTGTGCCCGCGTCTTGTCCAGTGATGAAGGCCGTCGCTTGTGTCGTGTGAACTGTCGATAAGTGAGGTGGCATAAAACGTAGGCGTGTGTTGTAGGAGGACTAGTCGACTCAAGTGGGCCACAAAACCTCGTCAGGACCTATTCGACGCATATCGCCACATACCTGCCTTTCGGCATGAGAACCTTACGGTTCTTTATCAGTTTCTGAACTCTGTTGATTCTTTGGATCGTCTGCCTGGGATCGGTGGTACGGCTAATTCTGTGTGTTTTTTGGTCGTTCAGGAAGGCCTGGGTTTTGTTTAGTTCTCTGGTTTGTCGAAGAAAATGGTGAGCTAACCTTTCTGCTCAGGTATGAGGGCTATTTCGGTATCGGCTTCCAACTCCTCCATGGCCTTTTGAGTCACCTTTCGAAGTAGCATTGAAGGCAAGATGACTTGGTGCTGAAGATGGGTGCCGATTTGGCGTAACACTTGTTCGAAAAAGGCAGTTATGACGAGCATACTGACGTTGGTCGTGTTAAAACGAGATCTACGATGAACCGCCATCGTCTGGACGCCGGCAAGACCTCTTCGGGAGGATTTTTAGGGCAAACTTTTCTGAGCTTCTACGGCGTCTGCGGTTCAATTACTCCAAAATTTATGAGTAGTTTTGGGCGAGGTTTGGTTCTGCAGTCCCAAATGGTTGATACCGTATGATTGGCTTAATACTGCATTATTAGTAAACATACCTTACTTAGCCACTTGCTGGTTTAGGAAGAGGAAGAGAGCGCAAGCAGAGCTCGAAGCACGCAGAGGGAAGCGAGCGAAGGTGGCGTGTACACATTCTTCCCCCGACACAGCAACTTGCTGGATTAAGAGGATAAGGAGGACGTAATTACAACTGGAAGGCCGCGGGGGGGGAACCGAATGGTAATTCAACGTGCGCAGCCACTGTCGTAAAACCAACGGAGTTCCACACCATTCGAAAAATTTCATTAGCAAGTCTACCTGGTCGCTTGCTGTATTAGGATAATGAATAGGGCGCAGGTAGGGCTCGAAGCACGCGCAGGGAAGTGCGTGGGAGCTAAATCTGAGATATTCGAGGCTGGCCTTTAAGCACTCCTCCCTCGTGGCGCAGTCACACGCTGGATTAAAATGGTAAGGAAGATGCAAATACGTGGTATCTGTTAAGTCGGCGTACTCACATCCACTAATTTTATTTACAAAGCTGGCCATGCTGTCTCACTCAGATGGCGCTACAGGGTCGAACCTTGCTTAGTTTTATTTACCTATCCACCCGTTTTCATCATATCACGGCTTTCAGAATATTTTATATTGTCGTGGAGATCGTCTTGTGTTTAGGACGTTGTAAGTCTGTTTAGATGATCAAAGATGTCATTCCATCCGTACACTCCTCCTCCTCCTCTTGTGCTAATCTACCTTAACTTACACTTTCATTACTGCCCAAATGCATGTTTATATTAAATAATTGAGCCACGATATCAAGTATAAGCATGGGGCCTCGAATACTGTCTCCTATGCATGGAAGCATCGATCCTGGCCTTTGTAAAATGAGCTGTAAGGGTTTCTATTTGATCGCCTCTTCAGGTGTTGCGGCACTTAGAAAAGAGGAGTGAAATAGATTTTCTCGGCCATTTATACAAATCATTAGATCAAGAGGACGCCGATTTGACCAGGAAATTTCTTATATTGGCATAAGCAAAAAGATAGGCCTCAAGACACATCAAGACAGTTAAAAAGTGTTTGTAAGTCCACTGAGCACTAGCCGGTCTCCCCATCCCCTCGATAGTGACCCTACAATTTAAAGACGGTACACTGAGAGAACGACAGAATAAACCTGGTTACCGTACCCTATGCGCGTTAGTCTTATGTATGCGTGATCTATACTGCATGATTCGTATCAGTGATAGAAAACGGACCACACCGTAGTTTGGCTTTCTTATGCGCCTCCTTGAAAGTAACCATGGCTCCAACTGGCTGCCCCCAAGGTTTACGTTGTTAACACATGTATTTTTGCACAGCCCACATTTTTGTCCACTTGGCATGAGGATTACCGCCGACTTTCCCCAACCCCTCGATAATTTAAGCAATATTTACTCATTTACTTTAAGAACTTGCCGGAATCTCGGGATCCTGTAGTCGGGAAACCGAACAAAATGCTTTCTAATGTCTTGGTTATTTTATTCTTGGTAGTGTTTGTAGTGGCTATGTCTACATGTTTATTTTTTCTGCATACGTTGTAACTTCTTACGTATAATCTATTTTGCCCTATCGTGAAAAACTCGGTGACATCGGTAGGATTCGAACCCACGACAGCAAGGGCTTGAGTACAGCCAACGCTCTGATCACTGGAGCTACGAGGTCCCACCGGCTAACCTGGTCCATATGTGCTTAAGCCCATGACTCCCAGTGGGGCGTCGTAGCTCAGGTGGTTGGGTCGTTGTCTGTATTAACGTCAAGCCCTTTTTTACTTTGGATTCGAATCCCTTCGAGGCCGCCGAGTTTTCACAGTTGAAGTAAATGGATCGTTTGGTTGTCTGCGGCCGAACATACAGAGACGTTAGCTTTTCTACTAACCGTTTACGAGTAGTACGTTTTCCGTAATCTAATTCATATGTCTAAGACTGGTCAAAAAGCGAGATCACTTTGAAAGGGAAACTGGGAGAGTTAATAATCTCGTCAAGAAGCCTCACAGACTTGAATGAACTGAACTCGCGATACACTTTCTTGTTATTTAACACTTTTTAATGCATTCAGATTATATCGGTCCTTTCGCGGATAATATGGGCGTCTTCAAGAGGACACCTTTTGCTGTTAAACATCTACCCTTCACCACTATTTACCAGTTGACGGCCGGGATCCTGGAGATCCGTCTGGGTGTGCACTTGGTGTCTCCTGCCTCGGGCGTCAATGCTCAGCAGAAATCTGCCTCCATTCTTCCGCCGGCTACTTTCATCACCGCGCACTTCACACTTGAGGAAGGTGCTCGAGAGGAGAGGTCGCGCTCCTTCGCCCAGTACGGACGTAAATGGTGGCAGGAATACTGTCTCCTCCAGCGTGGCGCCTTCAAAGGCAGAATGGTGAAAATGTATGCCCTTGATGAGAACGGCAGAGCACAGTAAGTTGGCCAGATGAGAGTGAACATGATTCAACTTATATTTAATGAATACTCAAACATCCATGGCAATTCTTTTA